CCGGGGCGACAGCGCCAATACTGACATTCATCGATTTCGAGAATTCCTTCAAGAAGTATAAGAGGGAACATCGGGTGACGGATGTTATGTTTACCATGCCTTGATTTACATACCATGTCAGGCTAGTTTACATTCAACATATTACAATAAACACTGGATCTCAATGCTTTTGCCTATTTCCTAGGAATTTTGACGGGTAATAATTAAAAGGGAGAATGTTGGTTAAGGGCGCCGCGAAGTGTTGAATAAATGAACATCTCAGAAGCTAACAAAGCACCGCTGCTCAATACGAAATTAATTCCGTGTGTATGCGCGTAGTCTGTTCGTTGCGGTGTATGTTCGTAACAGTGCAGAGTGTTTAAAAGCACTGTTTCGGATTGGTGAATCATACTAAGCATGTGTGGACAGTATAAATTGCTCAAAGTCTTGAAGCAGGCAAAGTGTGCATTCTTTGTCTCCCAGTAGGCAGTATTTGACATTGGACGCATCAGAAGACTCAGAACGGTCGAGGTTCGGGTTGGCACCCCGTTATCAACAAATATGGATAAAAGTTCTTCATGAGATGACAAATCAAAAACTGTAAACTGGCAAAAATATGTTCCGATGTGTACGAAAGCATGTTTAATTATACGCTGCAATAGTGCTCTAAGTTATGAAATGTCAACCAAACTTCCGGAATGTTTTTTCGTTTCGAAAAGGTTAATTAAGCAGGGTTGTAAAACTAATTAGCCTGTAGTACAAGTCTATAATAATTCGGTTACCAGAAAATGCTGGCTTTCTAAAGAACTTCCTTCTGGCTGCATACAGAAACTATACTCTGCAAAAAATTGCTGCTTAATTAGCATACATGTGTGTCATTGATTTTGGATGCCCCTAAATGTCCGATTATATTTTATTGTAAATAGGAATATATATATTTATTCTTTCGCTCATTCGGTAGAAAAATACGTCCTCTTTCAAGTTTATACTCGAAAAAGGGACATATTTGGTTTTAAAAAAGTTTCTAACTGGGAGACTTTTAAATACGGTGAAATGACTGTCTGGAAAATTTCATGTTTCTGCACTTATGAATTTGGCTTTTGAATTTAACAATTTGGACTCCTCTAAACACTGGAGAGAAATGCATTGTCGTCCGTACACGGAAAATGCGCGGCTTGTAGTTTCGATCGCCATACTACAAGTGTAACGGCAGGTCGGCTTCATAATTATTCGCGGATTGGAAAAGCTTTTGTAAACAGAATTATAGCATTTCTTCGCGTATAAAATTGAGAGAAAGACGTAATTGTCTACCAAATGAGCAAAAGAATGAATATTGTAATGCATGTTGTCCAAG